TATGATTATATAATAATGTATAAAAGCATGAGATTATATTATCATTTAGCATAGGATAATTATTCTCAATGCCTAGATTTATCAAAAAGACAAGGTTATAACTTTCCATTAGATATTTGCTTTGAAGTAAAAATATCTGTATAATTTTTCCATAATCAAAAATTTTGCATGTCATCATATTTTTAATTCAAATTCTCAAGTTAATTATGGCAAGGACCACATGACTTTTAAAACACAGTTGTTCTTACTTAGTTCTTCGTTGATAAAAGAGAATTTCCTGGAAGGACCTGGAAAGATGGCTGAATAGGAACCACTCTGGTCTACAACTCCCAGTGAGATCAACACAGAAGGTGGGTGTTTTCTGCATTTCCAACTGGGATACCTGGTTCATCTCACTGAGACTGGTTAGATGATGGATGGGTCCATCTCATAGAGGGTGAGCCAAAGCAGGGTGTGGTGTCACCTCACCTGGGAAGTGCAAGGGGTCAGGGAGCTACCTCCCCTAGCCCAGGAAGCCATGAGGGACTGTGCTGTGAGGGACTCTGCCATGAGGAACAATGCCCCAGAACAGATACTATGCTTTTCCTACCATCTTCACAACCCATAGACCAGGAGATTCCCTAGGGTGGCTATACCACCAGGGTCCTGAGTTTCAATGACAACACTGATCAGCCATTTGGACAGACACCAAACTAGTGCAGGAGTTTTTTTTTTGTTTTTGCTTTTTGGTTTTTGTTTTCCATACCCCAGTGGTGCCTAGAATGCCAGAGAGACAGAAACATTCACTCCTCTGGAACAGAGGCTGAAGACAGGGAGCTGAGTGGTCTACCTCAGCAGATCCCACCCCCATGGAGCCCAGCAAGCTAAGATCCACTGGCTTGAAATTTTCATTACCAGCACAGCAGTCTGAATTCACCCTGGGACACTAGAGCCTGGTGAGGGGAGGGGCGTCTACCATTACTAAGACTTGCATAAGCAGTTTTCTCCTCACCGTGTAAACAAAGCCACAGGGAAGTTCCAGCTGGGCAGAGCTCTCCACAGGTCAGCAAAGCTGCTGCAGCCAGACTGCCTCTATAGACTCCTCCTCTCTGGGCAGGGCATCTCTGAAAAAAAGGCAGCAGCCCCAGGCAGGGGCTTACAGATAAAACTCCCATTTCCCTGGGACAGAGGACCTGGGGGAAAGGGTGGCTGTGAACGCAGTTTCAGCAGACTTAAATGTTTCTACCTGCTGGCCCTGAAGAGAGCAGCAGATTTCCCAGCACAGCTCTTGAGATCTGCTTAGGGACAGACTGCCTCATCAAGTGGGTTCCTGACCCCTGTGCCTCTTAACTGGGAGACACATTCCAACAAGGACTGAGAGACATCTCATACAGGAGAATCTGGCTGGCATCTGGTGGTGCCCTCCAGGACAAAGTTTCCAGAGGAGGAAACAGGAGGCAATCTTTGCTGTTCTGCAGCTTCCAATGGTGATACCCAGGCGAACAGGGTCTAGAGTGGACCTCCAGCAAACTCCAGCAGACATGCAGCAGGAGGGCCTGACTGCTAGACGGAGAACTAACAAACAGAAAGGAATAGCATCAACATCAACAAAAAGGATGTCCACTCAGATAGCACACCCAAAGATCACCAACATCAAAGACCAAAGGTAGATAAATCCATGACGATGGGAAGAAACCAGTGCAAAATGGCTGAAAATTCAAAAAAACCAGAATGCCTCTTCTCCTCTGAAGGACCACAACTCCTCATCAGCAAGGGAACAAAACTAGATGGAGAATGACTTTGTGATGAATTGACAGAAGTAGGCTTCAGAAGGTAATAACAAACTTTTCTGAGCTAAATGATCATGTTCTAACCCAATCCAAGGAAGCTAAGAACATTGAAAAAAGCTTAGAGGAATTGATAACTAGAATAATTAGTTTAGAGAAGAACATAAATGACCTGATGGAACTGAAAAATGTAGCACTAGAAGTTCGTGAAGCATATACAAGCATCAATAGCTGAATCAATCAAGCAAATGAAAGGATATCAGAGAGTGAAGATCAACTTAATGAAATAAAGCATGAAGAAAAGATTAGAGAAAAAAAGAATGAAAAGGAATGAGCAAAGCCTCCAAGAAATATGGGAGTATGTAAAAAAGAAAAAAAAAGAAAAAGCTTACATTTAAGTGGTGTACCTGAAAGTGACAGGGAGAGTGGAACCAAGTTGGAAAACACACTTCAGGAAATTATCCAGAACTTCCCCAAACTAGCAACACAAGCCAACATTCAATTCAGGAAACACAGAGAACACCACAAAGATACCTTCAAGAAGACAAACCTCAGGACAAATATTCATCAGATTCACCAAGTTGGAAATAAAGGAAAAAATGTTAAGCACAGCCAGAGAGAAAGATCAGGTTTTCCACAAAGGGAAGCCCATCAGACTACAAGTGGATCTCTTGGCAGACACCTTGCAAGCCAGAAGAGAGTGGAGGTCAATATTCTACATTCTATTTTTTTCCCATTTATTTATTTTATTGCATTTTAGGTTTTGGGGTACATGTGAAGAACATGCAAGATTGTTGCATAGGTACACACATGGCAGGGTGATTTGCTGCCTTCCTCCCCATCACCTACATCTGGCATTTCTCCCCTTGCTATCTCTCCCCAACTCCCCACCCCCCACCATCCCTCCCCTATTTCCCCTCAACTGACCCCAGTGTGTAGTGCTCCCCTCCCTGTGTCCATGTGTTCTCATTGTTCAACACCCACCTATGAGTGAGAACATGCGGTGTTT